GTAAGCTCCTGCCCATCCTTCCTGCTCAGGAGTCTCTGAATGAGAAAACCAAAGAGCAGTTTGAAAACCACTGAACTGCATGATCAAGAGATTTTAGCGGTCTCTTCCAATATTTTCCAATTATCTGTGGGTAGAAGATGGAGAGAGGAGGACCCCCAAAAGCAGAAAGGGGTGAGAGGAAAAAGAGTATGCATCTTGTATCTCCAGAGAAACAGCTGGAAGCTGGTTCCTGCAGGTTGTACTACAACAGATTTGAGGTTCTCAGAATTACAGTCATGTGCATAAGTATATAGTTCTGATATTGCACAGAAAGCACTTAGTACAGAGCCTGGCATTAGGTAAATGGCAACTCTGATTGTGAAAAGTTTAGCTATAAGCCTGAAAACCTCAACATATAATTTAATGCAACATGCTCAGCCACTGACATCACTGTGTCTGCTCCATCGGAAGCAATGTTTACCATGGACGCTAGATTTCACTTGCTGAGCCAAGGCCAGAGACAAATGCATACGACTAAGCTAGCCAAATCTAAAACAATTAGAGTAAGTCAAGCAATGGTTCTTCAGAAACATGGGAGCAGCTGACTCCCACAAGAAAATGATGGAAAGCACAATTCCTTTTTCTGGTAGCAAGGTGTACACATACAATTCAACAAATAATTATGGAAAGTTCATGAACCCAGTGAGGTTCAACCATTGCCTCCAGGTTAAGAATGACTGCTGTAGATCCTTGAGCTCTTGGCCATGAGGTCCTGAGGCCAAGAGCTACCCACAAGTCCCACAGTGGGGTAATTCATTCTTGTCCCCAACCACATGCTCACTATTTGTAGTCTGGACTATGACAGCAAACTTGAAGTAGGTAGCAATGTCACTGAGACTGAATCTAATTCTCAACCTTTTAAATGTAATGGACTCCAAATTAAGAATTTCTAAATCAGTACACATTGATACCTACAAATTTTATCTGCTTGGAATCCTCTCATTCCTTCCTTCCTTCCTCTGGCAACAAAACCTTCTTCTTTTTTTTTTTCATGGAGAACCCATTCCATGTGATGCTCGTGGGATTTGCCATCTCTCAGGGACACATGAACAGCCCCAGTCAAAGAGATATTGCTTATTGTCTACTGCCCACTTCCGCCCATATTGATTCAGGCAAGAATTCAAACTGAGCCAATCATGATGCCTCCTTAGTACTGTGTCTAGAACTATGGCAAAAGAGTCACTCTTACACCAAGATCCATGGCTCTGAGAACAGTGATTGATGCTGATGGGTACCTGTGCCACCATGTGAGGGAGAGTGTACCTGAGAATAAAGCTGACAGAGCTAAGAACAGGAGAGTGGGAAAGGAGCGAGGGATGGAGGGGGAGAGAATATGAATGGTTTGATGGTACCCTTTGAGCTTTCTCACTACAGCTATGCCGGTCTCAATATAGCTATGCCATTAAGCCTGAACATACTAGTCATGTAAGCCAAGAAACTAGGTTGGATATCTGTTGATTACAACCAAAATAATTCAAACTAATACACCTGATCTGAAGAAAACAAAGCTCCAGAGGAATTTTCCTTTCATGGGTAGTCTTTGTGGAATTTTGGGCTCCTTTCTGATAATAACCCTGACTAAATTAAAATTACTTCTTCCTATGAAATTCCTGTGAAAAGTCAAGTCTTAACATGACTCCTGTATTACCCCCTGCACCAACAGTTCATCTTACCAGTACTGCCACCAAGCAGATGCTACCTCTTGTAATGAATATTTAGGTCATGGACAGAAACCTAGAGACTCTTCAACAGCACAGTTTATAGTTGGCTACCATCAAACAAGTACTTGGAGTCAAGGCCCGTGAGCTTCTCAAACTGTCCCCCAAAGGAACTGAACTCTCCAATATAAGAAATGGCTTAGGATTACGGCTCAAAACAGAAGAGTTTGTGAGTGTAAGGAAAGAGGGACACACAGGTCAGAGAAGACAGGGTCAGTGTAAACTCTGGCTATTGAAAAGGCACTCTCCAGACCGAATCATAAGCTAGAATGACTGGGAGTCAAGAGATAGAGAACTCACAGAGAGCACTGGCAGAAAGTTGTTTGTTATTCTTTTGGAAAAGGGATTTCAACTCAGGTGCCAAATCTGGTCGACAGCCAAATGCCAAGATCCAGCATCAGAGGATGGAGGGAAAAGGGGGGGTGATATGAATAGATGTATTTATTATTCTAGCTGAAACTATTAAATTTTATCTTTGGATTAAGCAAGGCCAACAGAGAAATGCAAACCTGGACTGGAAGGGCTTTTCTTGGACTATGTTCAGGTGTTACATCGTATCTACATGGAGGATAGTCCTAGTTACCCTATTTACATCGTATCTACATGGAGGATAGTCCTAGTTACCCTATTTACATCGTATCTACATGGAGGATAGTCCTAGTTACCCTATTTACATCGTATCTACATGGAGGATAGTCCTAGTTACCCTATTTACATCGTATCTACATGGAGGATAGTCCTAGTTACCCTATTTACATCGTATCTACATGGAGGATAGTCCTAGTTACCCTATTTACATCGTATCTACATGGAGGATAGTCCTAATTACCCTATTTATTATAGGGATGCCGTGCATTGCCCCAAAGAAATCTCCAAAGTCCTGAATCATTCACCTTACTTCTTTTGAGCGATGGCGGTGCTTTATTCTCTGGCCATGGCGAACTGTTAACTGAGTGTGTTCTGAGTTAACAGAACTTCTGACTACTCATAAGTTCAAGGGCAAATGACCTGCTGGCAAATAAACAGGCTCCTTCCATATACTGGGACCTCATCTGACGTCATCATACTTTTCCATCCACACACATTTCCTTCCTTATCTTTCTGAATCTCACTGTATTATACGGATATTTCAAAGCCACTCAAAAATCTGTGAAAGCAAATAAGTACCAAGACTAGATCACCTCAATCAAAATACACCAGATGGTGACCAGAGCACTTAACAAATGCTACCTGCTATGGTAGTTGTTATGAGGAAGCTCCAAGTAAGTAGGCAAGGGGTGGTGGCTTTGGACTAGAATAGTCCTGATCCAGGCTACCAAGTCAGCAAATGCCTCAGCCCTTTCCTTCCTGCTCTTTGCCTTATCTCCTGCATATTCCACCTGTCCTTGGGTAGCTGGATGCCATCTGACCCATCCTTGGGCATCCATACCTACTGTCTCTTTAGCACTATTGGTGTTCTTCCTTACTCAACTCCTTGGCCAAATCAAAAGATCTCCCCCTTTTAACGAACCTTGCACTGGACCATGAAGTTGTTAATAGCTGATAGCTTAATGCTCTTCTCTCAGAGACAGGTACATTTTAACCACACAAATAATTCACTAATGGTAGAATGTACTATAAAAACGGTACAGATGCAAGTGAACTGGTGAATTTTCCTGTAACTCTGAATTAGCTCTACATAAAGCAATCAAGACAATGCCTGGCACACAGTCAGCATTCAAACATCAGCAGACACTACTTATTACTACTGTTGCTGTTAATTCTATCACTCCACCACTGCCACTCAATCACTTGCTGCCTATTCCTCTACCACCACTATGTAAGTAACTGCCCTTTTGAAAACACTGGCTACTCAGAGATCCATAGTCAACTAATGCATTGAAATTACACTGTGTGGTCTATAAAGCATTTAAACATACATTATCGTTTAAAAAATCTTCCTCACAACCCTCAAGTCAAATATCATTCTCATTTTGATGAGGAAACTGCAGTTCAGGATGGTTGCATTTGGAAGGTTCCAGAGCCGTGCTCAAACCCAAGTCTTGTAAAAATTTCTTGTTCTTTCTATAACAAGTGGTTGCCAGCTGCACAGCATCACATCAGAATCATGGGAGTGATTCTGGGACCTACCCCAAACCTAACAAATATGGATGGTTAGACAGAAGGGATGATACGAAGCTGTATCGCAACAGGTGTCTTGTGTGACTCGAGCTGTGGGATGGTCCAGGCTGCTTACTGGTTGACTAAGGACCTGCTTCACTCTAAGCCTCTTCTGGAGACCATGAGAAAGCCATATGGAATCTTCTGTTCTCAGAAAGCTAACAAAACAACAGAGGAAGGAAGATTAGCTAAGGTGAAAGAAGAGGTCAAACCCAGAGGGCACTGTTTGGCTTGGGAGAAGTTCAGAGTGAGTGAGACCGCAGATGGCAAGAGTAAGTCTATGATGTGGAAAAGGGAAGATTCTGTGGCCTTGAAAAATGAGAAGGATTTCCAGATAGAAAAGGAGTAAGCAGAATATGAGAGAAGAGTCACACTACTGAGCCCAGCCCAAATCACAAGTCCACACAATTGGAAGATAAATAAATGACTGTCATTTTGAGTAAGTAAATTTTAGGGTGGTCTATTACTCAACAAAAACTAACTGCTACACACTGCAAATAACAGTACAGGCTGCAATGCTAGTAGTGTCACATGAAGCCCAAGAAACTCTTCCACTTAAAAAGTACATTATTTTCCTAGCTCTAAAGGATGTTTTCTACTAATGCAAAACTGTCATAACTACATTACAATTACATTTGGATGAGACGAGTAATGAAATAAAAAACAGAGCAATAACTACTGTTAATAGATTGTAGTTATGAGCCAATTTGCCTTACAACACACTGAAAGGAACTGAATTCTTTGGCCAAAGTAATGCTTTGCTGTTTTGGATACTATCTGAAACAAGCAGACCATCAACATGGGCCTGGAAATAGTTCCATTACAAAGAAAACTTTTTATTTTAATAGTATTTGGCACTGCAGTCATGTATCTCTTCCTTGCCCATGTCCTTAGCTAAAGAACATGGGTTGCCTCATTTTTTTTAAGGCACGGAAACATCATAAATCATTTTGGAGGGGAAAAAAGTGCAAACAGACATCTAGTCATAGTACTGGTAGAAATACATTTAACTTAGAAGTGTGAATATCATTTCAAAAATAATATCACACAGTCACTTTGTTTTAATAATGACAGAGAACTTACCAGTAAGACTTTGTGTGGTCCACTGTTTTCAAGTTTTAAGTGTTAGAATGAATCTGAAAGAGAATTAAATAAACATTCAGTAAGTAAATCATATTTGGAAAGGATGTGCTTTCGATCCCAAGTGACTGCCATAATGTTGAGTATTTATTCTTTTAGTTAAAGATTAACAAAGCCTTTTCTGGCTCCTAATGGAGTAGGGAGTGTTTTTTTGCCTACATATTTCAACTTCCTGAACAGAGTGTATTCTCTCATCTACTTCAGGGAGTGCTCAAAGTCTGAGACCAGAATAACTATAAATGGTAGTGTTTTCATCCAAACCCTCCAAGTCAGTGAAAGCCTCTGTAGCTGTTGCTTTTGCCTTGGTCACACAACCGCCTCTGACAGCACCAACTCATGGCTGCTTTATGGAGCCACTACTGGTCCTGTCTACGGAAGGACGATAGGAGGGATACGCCAGGCTTTCTAACATTGGTCACCTCATCAGTTAAGTAACCACAAAGTTCTGTCTTACTGATGATAGTTAGCCTCAGGGTGTGCTACTCAAGAGAAACATAACGCAAGCCACATATGTAACATTAAATGTTCTAGTAACCACATTAAAAGAGTGAAAGGAAACAGACGAAATTAATTTTAGTAATATATTTAACTTAACCTGATTTATGCAAAATATTATCATTTCAATGTGTAGTGCATATAAAATTGCTACAATATTTTGTTCTTTTTTTTTATTTTACAATAAAATTTATTGTGTATGTTTGAGGTTTACAACATGACATTATGGGATAGATAGATAATAGATAGTAAAATGGTTACTATAGTGACGCCAATTAAGATGGCTACTATCCCAGTTACTTTCTTTGTGACAGGAGAAGCTAAATCTACTTAACAAAAGCCCCTAATATGACACAGTTTTATTAACTGGGTCCTTTTGTTGTATGCTGGGCTCTAGGCTTGCTCAACTGCTACTTTGTATCCTTTGACCTACATCTCTGTCTTTCCTTTCCTGTCTCTATTTTTCATGGTAATTCTTCGAGATGCAGTACATCTCAATTCAGGAGAGCCATACTGTAAGTAGGCGACAGTAGTGCCGACATACTAGACTGCACAGGTCTGAGGAATACATTCTTAGACTGCAGGGTCTGGCAAGGCTCCAAAGCAAGTCAAGTTCATGTGGAGATTTTGTTCACTTATCCTGCTTCTTTCAGTTATCTATCACTAACTCATTTTATAATGTCTTTTTAATGGAAATCATTAAGTAGTGAGAGCAAATACTGTACAGCACTTCCTTTGTGCTAGGACATTCTTGTTCCTGCCGCCTCAATGAATTCTCACCATAACTGGAAGTGGTAAGTACATCATCATTCCCACTGTGTAATGAGGAAACTGAGGCACAGAGAGGCTAAGTCACTTATCTGGGGTTATCAGATGGTGACAGTCTGCTTGCAGACCATGCTCGTAGCTATTATTCTCTCAATTAAATCTGAACAGCTCAAAATAAGATAATTACTTTCAGTTTTAATTATAACCATCAAATGATCCAAGTCTGCTCTCATGATAATATGGTTAGATAACAGCACTGATGGGCAGCTGGAAGAATTACTGGACGTGCTAGCAAATTAAATTAAAACAATTTGGGATGGGAATACAAAAGCTACAAACAGGCCTGGGATCAGAGAGAGAGAGGCAAAGTGTCTGAGGATCTGTTGATGATGAGGGTAGAAGGGAGAGGCGCTTCTCATGGGGTCTGTGGAAAATCTTGTCTTTGTGATTTGTCTCAGGGAGGAGCCTATCGCTTTCATCAGACTCTTATGGGGTCATAAGCTAGATATCCCCTACAACCTGTCTTAGCAGGGTAAGGAGTTAAGACAGGAAGAATCAAATTGAAAGGTATTGAGAAAACACATCGTTTTCACTGTATTAATCCATGGGCTCAAAGAAACCACACTCAGCGAGCAAAGTCAGATCCACACACATGAGCGCCTGTCTAAGTCACACAGGAAGGAGGGTGGTCAGTTAGTCAGTGATGCTCTTTAGAATGCATAGGTGGAGGTCTCTGCAGGGCATGGCTGCCCAGTCTCACATACAAGGCATGAACCTGCTGAAAATTCCTACTGTGGCTTCCTCCAGGTTTTATGAGGCAGTCATGCCCCTCAGCCTTATCTAAAAAAGCCTGCATGACCTCATGCCTGTCCCCTTTCCTAACACTCGCTGTGGGCTTCTTGTCTCTCAGGAACAGAAACCTTTTACAAGGCCCTAAACGCCCCCAGGAGTGACCTAGGGACAACTCTCTGGTAAGAGTAGTAAGTAGGATTAGTTCAATTCAGTTGACAATTCCATAGCACTGCTACTCATATCAACAAAAGCTGCTCTTTATGGAATTACACCCAAGTGCTTCGCAAGCACTGAATCCTCTTACTGATTTACAAGGTAGATCTTATTGCTCCTTTTAGCAGGTAAGCAAACCGAGGCACAGAAGTTAAGTCAGTTCCCTAAGGTCACAAGACTTGTCAGTAGCAGGACCAGACTGTGAACCCAGTCAATTGGTTCCGGACCCTATACTCTTAACAACTACACCATACCTGCAGCCCACTAGGTTCCACTGTCATCTACTCTCACCCACCTCGTACTTGCTCTGGTATTGCAAGTAGCTCCTATGTTTCAGTTTCTCATGTGCTGGCCTCTCTGCCCACTTGTTTGCAGAACCCTTAAAAGCTGAAAATTATCCTTGTAGCTCATCTTTGTCTTGTTAAGACCTAGCAAGGTGTTCAGAATACAGCAGATGCTCAAGAAAGGCATGCAGAGGAAAACGCTGGAATAGCCCTGGGAGGATGGGAGATAGGGCTATAAACTTGGGCTTAATAAAAAACACACCAGGGTGAAGAGTGTCCAGATATGCACTTTAACAAAGCAAGTTTTAGTTTCATGTTTGTTTGTTTGGTGGTACTGGGGATTGAACTCAGGGCCTCACTCTTGCTAGGCAGGCACTCTACCACTTGAGCCACTCCTCCAAGCCTAACTCCAGCTATCAAATCTAGATGGTACCAAGGAGATGATCACTTTCTAGCTTTGCTCAGTACAAAAGCAATTCAGAGCTTGGCAGCATTGATCATAACTCCAACAAGCTCATGGCTTCACTCTACTTTGCATGTGGTCTTAAGTGATAGCACATGTAAGTAACAACACTCAGCAGTCTTGGCTAATCAGTGGAAAGGAACAGCAGGAAAGACACATTGAAAGATCTTTGGCTGCCTGGAGAAGGTTTACACAATCTCTTTCCTGCAGTACTATATTGTTTCTTTCCATTACTATCTAAACTCCATTTCAGATGACTATGAAAAGTGACCGAGGAGGAAGTCACTCTCCTGTAACAGTGGAAAAGACAAAGTTTCAAGATCTGGGACACTTGAAGACCTCTAGGGAGAGAAAGAGTTCTTTGTAGCACACACCAAAGATTGCACCAAGACTGTGGCCCAGTTTACCACCCACAGGTAAATGCAGTTAGCCATAACACACATCCTTCCTACCGTATCCAGAGTGCAAAGACATCCATGTAATCTCTTCCCATGTATGGGACATAGCATCATCTGTCACTAACAACCAAATTACAAGTCTGTAGTTTGGCTTTTGCTATCTCCTCTGTTTCTGCCATAATAACACAGAATAACATTACTTAGCTATGTTGAGAGGTTTCCAGAGTACAAATTACGTGCTGACCATGGTGGTAGATGTAGGAGCTACAGCAGTGAATAAAGTAAACAGTGTTTCTGATTTGAGGCCCTTATATTGTAATGGAAGACGGAAAATAAACACATTCAGAAAGCAGTAAATACAATAATTTTAAGCAGTGTTTAAATTCTAAAGAAATTTTTTTCCACACAAGAAGGGGGTAAAGTGACCTAATGAAGAGTCCAGCGAGGTCTTTTTGGTGGCCATATGTAGGGATCCAAAGAGACAATAGCAGCTAATAGTAACCAATTCTGAAGTCACTTGGTTATTTAGGTGAGCTATGATGGTACCTTCCTAGTATGGCAGCAGTAGAGATGAGAAGGAGTGGATGCACCCGGAGACAGACAGATTGGCTGAACTGGATGTGAGCCACAAAACCCAGAACTTTTACTCAAGCAATTGTGTCAATGATGACTTAATTTACTCAGGGAGAGAAACAGGTCAAGCAAGGAAGAAAATCAAGAATTCTAATTTGACCTGGTTAAGGTTGAAACATCCACAGAGACATGTCAAGAAAACATAAGGACATGTAGAAAGTAAGTCTGGCATAGCGTTACACACCTATAGTCCTAGCACTTGGGAGACTATAGCAGGAGGAGAGTGAATTTGAGAACAACCTGATCTACACAGCACATTCCAGGCCAGTGAGACTTGTTTCAAAACACCAAAAGCAAAAACAAAATAAAAAGAAGTCTAATACTGTGCTGTTCAATATAGCCACCACTAGCACATGTGAGTATTTATGTTTAAATACAATTAAAAACTCCCCCAGTCACATGGGCCACATTTCGAGTGGCTACTTGATGGACCAGTGAAGGTATTCAGTGTTTCCATCATTGTAAGAAGTTCCTTTGAACAGGGCTTGTTTAATGTACATGATAACCTATAAGATTCCTCTCATTACTTTAAGGTTTATTGCAATTATAAAATATAAAATTATAGCCCTGGGAGATCTTTAATTTTCCACAGCAGTTAGATTCAATCTGCCTGAATGTACTTGCTTCTACTCTCATTTTAATTCTTTAGGGAAAAAAAAAAGCATATTTCTAAGCACCGTGGGGAGAAGTGGAATAAACGTTGGATTTGTAGGCCTGGTTGTCACTATCAGTGACTTTCAGCAAGTCACCTAATTTATTGTGTGCTTCCAATTTCCCCACCTGCAAAATGAGGAGTGACCCTGAATGGACAAGGTTGACAAGAATGTTAGAGAATGTTTCCAGCTCTGGAGATACAGCTACTGTTCTCCACAGGTATATTTGTTTTCACTTGCAAATTCAGATATAATATCTCAAGTGGCAAAACAGATGTAAAAGGGTTTATGACACACA